AGGCAAGCTGGGCTGTCGTGCATATGCTGAGTGAAAGCCCTGGGTTCCCTGAATAGTCCATGAAAAAAAGGCAGCTTTTTAAGGATGCTCCCACCACCACAGATGGGCATTGCTGCTGGGGCGGGGGTTTCTCTCCATCTCTGTGAGGATGGATCCAGACACATTTACACACCAACACCTTCATTTTCTTGTCTGTCCAAGGAGCTAGCAGCACCATGACCTGATGACACACACTCCTGCCACAAAGGTGCCACTTTGTGGTAATGCCAGAGGAGTGAGCAGTACCCAGGCATGGGCTGCACTGGTGTAATGAGTGTTTTAGAACAGTACTGTTATTTAAAACTATAGTAGGAATTTGGCTGTGACCTAGGCAAAAGAAACCAACTTCAATTTCTCTAGTCAACATCAGTATAATGACAGGATTCCTGAACTGAAGCCATCGACTAATCCTGGATAGGATTTGCCAGCAAACCTGGAGAGAACTCAGCCATTTGGGTTTATGGCTATTTTTGTGTACTATGGAGAAATGCTTGGCATGTTTATTTACTTGGCACTACAGATCTGAGGGTGAGCAGAGCTCTGCCATCCACAGCACCAGAGCAGAGAACTCATTGCACCACCCTATCAAGGTGCTCCTCACCAGAGGAAAGGGAGTGTTTGCAGTATTGTGCATGGAATCAATACCTTTGTGAGCCTCTCAGACAAATGGGAATTGAATAGATGTCTTTGGAAAACTTTGCAGAGAGCATGGGAATGGATGCCAAGAGGCCAGACTGCACCTTGTGTCTCTCAGCTCCAATGCCTGGTCCTGCCTTCCCATCCCCTTCAGGCCTGAAGCTCTTTGGCACGTCCCTTTGAAGGCATTGAAAGAAGAAATGTAGGCAGAAATAAAGCAGAGGAGCCCCTTGGGGGCTCCAGTTGTTTCATGTGCAGAGTTATTTACCAAGCAGTTGTTTCATGTGCAGAGTTATTTACTCTACAAATCATCCCAAGTATGACCAGGCTCCATAAAACATAATAAACGAGGGAGCAGGAGGGATGGGAGAGCTGTGGGCAGGCAGGGTGGGCTGGTGCAGAACACAGCCACAGTGGAGCAGGAGTCCTCCCAAACGGGTGAGGAGGTCCAGGGGAGTTTCCCATGTGCTGTCCTAGCAAATGAGCAACTTGGAGCTGCTGGAGCTGTGGCAGTTTCTGGAGGCACAGGGCCTGCTGCCATGTGTTTTAATAAATGGGTTCACACCAGCTGTCTGTGCAAATAAAACATTAGCATGTGTCAGACACTGTCTATCCAGGCACTTGCTGTAACTTAGGGGACATTTTGCAGCAGAGCCATCCAAGTGCAGGCTGTGCCATGCCAGTGGGAAAACAGCTTCCTCTCACTCCTGTGAATTATGGGGTGCCAGAGAGCTGCCCACAACCAGGCTCCCCTCTCACATGTATCCAGTCCAGGCTCATATAAAATCCTGGGATTTTAGTTAGAAGAGTTGCCAACTCTGTGTGCTGGGACTGATGGTGACCCAGGATTGTAAGTGTTTCTTTCAGCTTCCTCTTTTACCCCAGGTCTGCTATTTCTTCTCCAGAAAAGAGGTATGAAGTTAGGCAAGTAAGAAGTGATAAAGGATAATCCAGTTGCACAGTACCTGGTCATTAGAATTCAGACCTTTTAGGAAATCAGGGCTGAGGGTGTACAATGCTAATGGCACACAGGGCTGCACATGATGGGAGAGGACACTCAGCAGGCTCCTGTTTCGAGGCAGATGGTCCCAGAGCCAAACCCACAGGTACTGACACACAAGCAAACAAGGGAAACATCTCATCTGCCTTGGAACCCTCTTATCTATTGCTGCCACAACCAGGAGCTTTTAAAACCTCCTCCAGCTGAAGTGCCATGAAAACAGGAATTTGCTTGTATGGCTTTAAGAGGTGTTTAATTTATGTGGAAAAAGAACATAAAATTGGCTGCAGTGCATTTCAGAGGATGCCTGCCAGCTAAAGTGTTAACTAGACCTAAATAATGTGGCTATAATGGACCTACTCCTGTTACCAGATCCCCTGTGGATGCCAATATCCAAACCAGACATCCCTGACTGACAGAAGCAACAGGCAAGCTTGGCAATGAGGAATATATTATAGACCAGATTCACAGGCTGATTTAAGCAGCTGCAATGACAGTGGTAAACAAAGCCTGGAAATAATACTGTTGTAAATAGATCCATATCTGAGGCCACACAGAGCTTATGTCTCAACAGCACAAAGTGAGATGTGCCCAGTGTATGAATCGTGGTGACAGTGTCACCTCGCAGAACATCTCACTTACTGCTATTCCTCATTACCAGTATGAGCTGCCCTGGACAACTTGCAATTGCTAGAAGAATATCAATAATTACTTCTTAAGTGGTACAAGTTAATATGTGCAAGAATCAAATATGCCAAGTGTTGTTTGATTAATTACTTTTTTTTCCTTATTACAAAGAAACCTGGTTGTTCACACTCAGTCTGGTTTCACTCGGGATTGCCCATTAAAACTTAAATATTCAAAGCAAACACAGAGGAACTTTTTCAAAATCAGAGATGTTAAATTACTACGTTCAAATATTCATCCTGGGAAGATTATTCCAGTCCAGGGAGGAGTATTCTCCTGCAATGATCCCAGCAGAACCATAGCTCACACTGGGCTCTGAGGATAGAAATGGTTACAATTGTTTTGTTCTGGGAGTAGCTTTCAATCAGTCAACAAGTAAAACCACTTGGAGAACTAATGGATCAAAAAATAATAATCCCAATTTGCTTTAGACAGTATGCCAAACAGGAAGAGGAGCAAAATATGTGGAGTGATTTATTACAAGTGATTTGCCAGCTTGAGCAAGTGCATCATTGCTCTGCTTAATTTAAAGACAGAAAATGAATGCAAAGAGATGCAGAGACCAGCTCTAAAGCAGCATGAACCCACCACAAAAGACCAGTTCTCCAGATTGCCAAGCAGCAAGACCTCTCTGCACGTCACACTCCACATCACCACTGCCCTTTCTCTCAGGGATCTTCCATCATTTGTGTTTTTTCAAACCTCTGCACAGCTCATGATGTGAGAATGCCAGATCACACGCTGTGCGATGGTCTCCATTAACGCACTTCAAACCTGACTTGCAGCTGCTTTGCTTATTCACTCTGGAGCCTTCCCCAGTCCAGGGCACTGCATCACATTGTGTGTTGTTTCCTTGTGCTTGGAGGAATAGAGTCAGGCCATTAAACAACCTTCCTATCTTGGCAAAGCTACTTTTGTAGCCAGATCCCCCGAGAAGGAACAGATTGGCACAATTTGGGGTTTTGTTCTTTCCTCCCCTCCCCAACACCTATTTCTTTTTACTTTTATTCACAGGTGAAATAAATATATATATATACAAGGAAAAGCCCACAAGTGAACTTCACATACTGTGCATTCATGTCCACCTACTCCTTACTAGGCTAATGGAATAAGCTATAGCCTGAATAATTGCAGGACTGTAATATACATTAAGAATTGTTTAAACTGTAATCTCCAAAGATATGGCTAGGAAATAATCCTCTGGTTTTAGCCCTACCATGGTAACAATGAGCATCAGTTTAATCCTAAAAGGAAGATGAGTGGAAATAATGCATTTCAGTCCCATTGTTCTCAAATCAGATGGCTCACATCTCCTCAGAGAGCAGAGAATTTGGGTTAAGTACACCGAGCTGCTGCTGACAAAACCTCCAAAGCAACTACAGGAGAAATGCAGCCCACACCACCCCAGATGAAAGTTAGGTATCACAACAAAATGCAGAAGAAATCCAGGGCTTCTGTGAGAACTGAATTTTGGTTTACTGGAGCAATATAGGGAGAAATTTGGAGAGATATTTCTAAACATCTATAGCCTCTGGTCTTACATCTAAGTGCATGTGCCCTCACTTTTAGTGCGAGAAATTGTTCTGATTTGTTTTCCTCTAAGTTGCCTTCCTTTAACTGTGAGAGCATCCCAACGACTCCAGTGTGTGTACAGCTTTAAATTCCAACTGCCCGCTGATTAACCCCACCTGAAATTCATGTTCCAAATAAAAGATTGAGCAGCTATCACATGCAAGCCTGGCAGCAAAGGGACTATGGAGATTGGTGTCTTGCTCTTTCTGTCCCTCCTTCCGTGTCTCTTACATTTTTCAAGCCCAATGCTCCAGTAAACAAATGCCTCAACCCGTCAGAGCACTGGAGCACAGCGAGTGTTGATGCTGAAATCCTTTCCACGCATGGGCGTGTTGGATTTAGCAGTGTGTGGAGACCAGCAAAGCCTTGTGGAAGTCAGGAGGGGTCTGCTAGTTAAACCAGCTAGGGACAAAACAGGAAAAATAGCAGCCCCTGGCTTTGACAATGCAGTTCCTTTTCAGATGTCTATGCTACACCCCGTGCCCAAAACTTTCGGAAATTAAGATCTGTCACTAGAGCGAGGAAACAAGCTCTGGACCAACACATGGAACTGGGAGTGTGTGAGAGATGGTTCTATTTCCCCCGATCCTGCAGGCTGCTTTTCCAGCAGAAGGGAAGGAGATGCAGAAGATGCAGAGAAAGGGTGGAGATTTGGGGTTTTCTGGCGATGAACTGTCACCTTTGGGGTGGACCCGAATGCTCCCGGAGCGGGACCAGCTGCCCCGGGCAGTGCAGCACCGGGAGCTCCGGGACAGGGTGCACTCCGGGCAGGGGGCTGAGCTCCGGGGAGGGTCGGATTAACCGGAGTACAGGGTTTACTTCGATGCAAAGTCTCAGCCCAGCGCGGTGGGGCAGGAGGAGGTGTGGGATGGGGGGCAGCAAGCAGAGAGGAGACCCCCCAAATCCCTCCTGCCTGCACACTGCGCCGGTCCGTCCCGTCC